ATTGTGGAGATATAAGGTAAAAGGTTTTCAAAAGCACTGCGTTTTTTTTTTTTTTTGCATTTTTCTTCATGAAAAGAACACTAAACAACATGATTTCAACAGATTTAGAAAGCTAAGAGAAGGGGCTACAACTATTGTATCGTGGGAAATTTCTCCCAAAAAGGAAGGTACATGCCCTAAAAGGGTAATTGACACTGACAGACTACAAAAGTAATTTATAGCCTACAAAGTTTACTAATAGACTACAAAAAAGACTACAAAAGTTGGACATAGACCACAAAGGTCAGACAAAGACTACAAAAATTAGTAGTGTCTGCTTTTCTCATTACAAAAGTAATAGTGTCCGCTTTTTGAGACTACAAAAATTAGTAGTGTCTGTTTTTTCAGACTACAATGGTTTGTAGTGTCCGCTTTTTGAGACTACAAAAGTTAGTAGTGTCTGCTTTTTCAGACTACAATGGTTTGTAGTGTCCGCTTTTTTCATTATAAAAGTTAATAGTGTCCACTTTTTGAGACTACAATGGTTTGTAGTGTCCGCTTTTTGAGACTACATCAGTTAGTAGTGTCTGCTTTTTCAGACTACAATGGTTTGTAGAGTCCACTTTGTTCATTATAAAAGTTAATAGTGTCCACTTTTTGAGACTACAATGGTTTGTAGTGTCCGCTTTTTTCATTACAAAAGTTAATTGTATCTGCCTTTTCAGACTACAATGGTTTGTAGTGTGTCCGCTTTTTTCATTACAAAAGTTAATTGTGTCCACTTTTCTGACATATAGTATGTAGTGTGGTTAACTATATATATATAGGTCATTGGGGATATGATTGAAGGATTGGGATGAGTTGACATTCTGCCACTTATGAATAGTTGTGTTTGATGTCAGGTCCATGGCTGTTTTCCACACTAAGCCACTATCCTATCTTTGATGTTGGTTAACCTTCCACTCAGATCAGTATCTGCTGTCCTATGTCTGACCACAGTCAATCTTCACATGATTTTTTTGGAGTGATAAATTCTCTGTGCTACCAATGCAACTTGTCATGTCTTTCAATACCAAGACCAGTTGTCATTCTCCAAGCCTTCACCACTGGGGTCAGCCTTGAGTAGATTGATTTAAAGGTACCAAAAGTGAGTAAATAT